CAAAAGAATCTAAAAAAATGAAGAAGACAAAAACGAAAAAAGTAAAACTTGTGAAAAGAAGAAAATGAAAGTATGATGCCAAAAATTTGACATTATTGTGTGAGTAGAAGATGTTTTATTGATACACAAAAAACTTTTGCAGTCACCAGGTTAAAAGTATGGATTTATTGTGTCGTGTTAAATTTTTTTTTTAAATAATCATAATAAATCTTCTTATTACGCTAATAAAATTACAATAATTTTTTTTTTACAAATAACATAAAAAATCATTTTTATCATCACAAAAAAAATAAATTTAAAAATTAGCAATTTCATAATTATCTTTTTTTTTTTTAAATTCCCGAAAATACAATTATAAAAAAGAAAACAATATTGAACTACAAAAATCAATATCTGCCAAATACGGTATTTAAAGACAATATGTGTAAATATTGTATGCTGTAAATACGGTATGATGCAAATACAGTATGCTGTAAATATAGTATGCTTTATATATGGTATGATACAAATACAGCATGCTGTAAATACGGTCCACTGTATATACGGTATGATACAAATACGATATGCTGTAAATACAGTATGATGCAAATAAGGTAAGCTGAAAATACGGTATGCGTAAATACGATATGTAAAGTGCATATACGGTATGAATGAATCCGGTTTCGTCCACTACAATAAATTTCAATACCGTATATGTTGTCTACCATATTTGCAGCTTACCGTATATGTAATCTACCGTATTTACAGGCAATTTACTGTATTTGTAACTTACCGTATATGCTACTTATCGTATTTGCACCTTACCGTATATACCGATTTTTGCACTTACAAATATCAAGAATGCAAAACATCATACATTCACTTACTAAACCGAATGTCAGGAAAAAAATTCCAAATTTTTATTTTTTCAACATAAGCATAAAATAAATTTTAAAATATATGAAGGACAAAATATAAAACGCATATGAATATGTAAGTCGATTTATAATTTTGTGCTTAATTTTCAATTTTTCAATATTGAATTACACAAAATTTAGAAATATAAATTTCACATTCAACTCAATCATATCAACACTATCAAAGAATACATGCAAAATAGTTTGTATAACCTCGAATATTTCTTATTCAAGCATGAAATATGCAAGCATATTTTTTATAAATAACACAATACTGTTGCAATTGTAAAAATAATTTGCAATCATTTCTTATATCATGGAAATATTTTTTGATATTACTTCAAAAAAATTTCCAAAAAACTAAAATTCATACGCTAATAAAAATACGATAAATATAAAATTCGTGCAACGCACGTGACAGTGACTTGTAATTGAAATCACATAAGGCTCTTTAAGATTTCCACATCTCACTAGCAACTCAATCACGCTATCAACGCACTAATTGAATGATGTATGACACAAAGTCCAATTCGCAACAATAGTCAAGAACTTACAGAGGAAAATTTGTTCTCTTCTTTTCATGTGGTGATTGACAAAGAGGATGAAATTGTACCCATCTAAGGTATTGGCATAACTTAGTGATGTTCAAAATATTTTGGATGACGTGATTAAACTCGAAGGAAGACCATGATTACTGCAAATATTCTCTCTCTAACATCACGTTATAAACAATAAAATTAAAGTTAAATGAAACAAATATCAAACAGATAAAAAAAAATGTAACTTTATACTCAAAAATAATAAAGAGAACAATTTATTACAGTAGTTACAAATAAAAGAATATATATTACAAAAACACTATTAGATTTTGCATACTTTTAAGGATGAATATTTTGGAAAGATTGTTAATGTTGGGGCACACCCTACCTTTGCCCTTTTGACTAGAAACATTGATACCTACAAAAGTTATTAGTTATTACCTTATGTAAAAGAATAATACTGCATGTACAATCTCGTGTACAATTTTTCTTTCACTCTGACACATGGCATTATGACCTCCTTTGATTTTCCTAACAATCTTTCTCTTTACTATCTAGATTATGCCACATTATGACAAGGGGGGAGTGTAAGGCTAGATGTACATATTCAAATGCTTCCCAACTCTCCATAATATTGGTTTACAACGCTCAAAAGTACTAAAATATGAAAAGAAATTAAAATTTTATTCACCATACTATTTTCTCACTTTGTATCTATATAAACACAAAAATATATAAATAAATAAATAGTTATTAGATTTAGGGATGAGTTTCAATATTTGCAGCAATAAATGTATATTTGACATATAATAAATCATATTAAACAGTATAATATATAAAATTTTAATTTTTAATGATTTAGGATTCGTTTGATTGCAAATGTGGAAAAATCGAATCAATTCCATATAAGTTGGAAAAGAAAATACCACAAGAATTACAGAAATTCGATTTTCGCTCAATTGACAAAAAACATGCTTTAAGTATTTGTACTTTAAAATTCGAACTTCATTTCCATTTTTGTATCGAACAGCCAAAGTAGAAAACGAATTTTTCGGATGTGATATTTTCATGGAACTTAATGCTATCAAACGGATCCTTAATACTTTTATTACGTTATTTAATGCGCTTTATCAAATATGTCCAATCGAAGGAAGATTTATTAGGGACAAATTGAAATTCAAAAGCTAGTTTCCATATGGAAACCTTTTCCTTTTGTATTGTCCACCCCAAAGTGTCTTGATTATGGTCCCCGCTATTCCTTTAATTTGACGTGAACTCAAGTTGCCTCATTTGTGGGGCATTTTGCTTTCAGATTTTCAAAAGTCAATAATACATGTACAATTCAAGTTGACGCTACAATTATATTGAGAATAAATGTTTTGTCGTGTCAAGTTCATAGGATGACAATTGTTTGTAAAATCTTCTTTTTCACCATTTACAATTGTTTGTAAAATCTTCGTTTGAGCGATGTGTGAGTTGAGTGCATTCTTTGATGAAGGCGTAACGAGTATTATATTAAACTATCTTATAAAAATATTACACTTGTTTGATGAAATAATTAAATTACCTATGCAATTATATACCCGTGTGTAATTAACTGATATGTATACCAACACATATCATGCATCCAATTAACTAATATCGTGTTAATTTTTTTATTTGTTTGTCTAAGCATATGTTTGGATGTGCTTATAAGTAATAAGAGCCCACTATTTTTGGGACTCAAAATATTATAAATTATAAATCTCACGAAATATTCATTACTCTTATTTTATTTACTTTTCAAAAAACTTCAAAGCATTATGAAAAGTAAGCACCATTTGTGAAAAAAATTGTTACTTTTTAAATAGTACCATTTCAAATTTTGCTAGACCCTTCATTTTGGCACAAACGCCTTGGTCTCCTTGAAAAACAAGTATTCGATGTGTTATCTAAGAGTAAACTTTTCACTTGTATTTCGAATTTTGATCCCCATATTTTTAACATTCGTCGTTTAGGCAAACAAGCTGGAATTCCATCATTTCTTCTTCTTCTTCTTTGCGCAAAACAGAAGTCAAACACGTGTCAATGCCACTTTGTCCAACAATTTTTTTTTTTTTATCAAGGTGTTCGCTTTCGGCGACTATTCCTTGGATCTGTGATCCGGCCCTTCTTCACACGGACCAGTTAAACTGCGAGATGTGCCTCCAACTGATCAGGGTCCGAGCACCTCTCCAATTGGACTGTCAAAGTGCCTAATGAGTTAACCTACGTCGCGCCTTGCCCTCCAAGACACTCCTGCCTTTCAGGATAAATCCTATCTTCCAATATATGCCTTGCATTCCAAGAGCCCCAAGAATCAAACCCACAACCTCTAATCTGCCAGCTTTTTAGAGAACTCGTCCTTTGCCAGTGGAGAAGTGCCCCGGGGGCAACAATTATTCTTATTCTTTGGTGTTGTCCCAGCTTAGCAACCACGTTTTTTGATAGGATAATACTATTTGTACATAATAGTATATATAATATTTTATGGATCGTGCTACATGTACTCACATTTTTGAACAAAAAAGTTTTACTTACACTCACAATAGAGGCGGGGACCACATAACCGACATTTTTGAATTCATGCGGGGTCCAGTGTGTGTAACCCATTTTGTCAAAATTTGTGAGTACATATATATTAATCCATATTTTATATAATGGTGACATGTAAAAGAGAGAGAAAAAAAGGAGAAGGAAGGGAAAGAAAAGAAAAGAAATTCAGTTATTTTTCTCATCTCTCTGTTCCATACTATCATTATATAAAGTATTATGTACAAATAATAGTTCATTTTGAACAGGTCTTATGAACATTTTTTGTCTTCACTTTAATCTTCATTTTTTCTTTCTTTTTGTCAATTTCTCACGAAAACTTGAACACAGGTAAAAAATTATTAACCAGTGGAACATGGACTCGTAATAAATTACTATTATGATTTTTTTTTTAATGTAAAAAGCTCCCTATAACTTAAATTAGATGTTATATAATCGTTTTAACCTTTATGTTTGTATTATGAGTCATACATAATTATTGTAATATATGAGAAAGTTTGCCAACATGGTAGATGAGTTGTCTATGTCAAGTTCTTGCTAGGTTGAAAAAATAAGATGATTTACTTATCATGCTTACAGCTTACTCAACTTATGTCAATCAATTAATTTCTTTTGTTGTCATATGTCAGAATTAATTATTATTTTGTTAAAATAAGATTCACGTGTGCCATGAAGTAAAAAATGTCTGGTTTGATGTAGTAGAATTCTTGATATCTTCACGGGAGCCCATCCTAATCACAGGGCGGCGACACATTGCCCTTTAGAAGCTGCGCTACAGCAAATCGGTCAAAATCAAACATTGTGAAATTACAAATTACTTATATCTCGATAGATGAAAAATACGATAGAATCAAGAGTGGAATGACACATGTTCACAAACATATGAATTCTAAAACATATAACATATGAATTCTAAAACATATATCATTGTCCATAGAAAAGCTGTCTCCGCTACTCATAAAAAAGATTATATCTAAATTTGTTGCTATGTTTGTCTTCGGTTGGACTTGCAGTTTTGCAGATTGAAGAACTAGAAATACACAATCCGCCAAATTAGAATTTTGGAATTTTGACTTGTTATTCTTGTGCCTGTTATATGGTCAGACCACTAGAAAGCCATGTAGTACTAGTATTATATTGAATTTTTAATTTGGAAAAGATTTTCCAATGCTAAATAAAGCAAATGACTGAGAAATCCCGCTCTCTCTCTCTCTCTCTCTCTCTCTTTCTCTCTGTGGGTTCCTACAATGGCGAATGATGCTTTCACAAGATAAAGTGGACATGAAAGTAGTCTTCAAAATTTACTGTCCTGTTATTCGCACCCTATGATACTGCATACACTAGCTATTCTATTCAATTCCATATGCGAAATTGGATTTCATCGGTACAAAAACTCTGTCTATCACTTCACATTGTTTTGTTTTTTTTTTTCCCCTTTTTTCCCCCCTTTTTTTGGGATTTGGTTGGAATAATAACGGTTAGCAGACATTTAGGGTTTCTTGAATTGTCTTGTTTTTACTGGAAAAGGGTTCTTATGGATCGGTTTGATGTGTTGAATTACGCTGTTAAGCGAGTTACATTTTATTGTTTATCTCAAGGGTTCTCTATTATTTTTTTTAATTGTTAAATTCTGGTTTACTTTGATGGGGGGCGTTCTTAGTTTATGAGGGTTAATATGTGTAATATTAATACTTCATTGGCAGTTTAGTTAAAAGTCGATATCTTTTACCTTTCGAGAATGCAGAACTACATTTCTAATTGTTTCTTGTTTCTTGGCGTACTATATATTTGTCAACTTATAAAATATAGTACTCTTTGATCTTCTTTTCTTTTATGGGGTGAGGTAGAAATAATTTTGTGTTTAAGTTCGATTTGAGGTTAGGAATATACATGCTTCATTGAAAAGTGCTTTTGAAAATTGGATAGGAAAGTCAGTCAGAATTGAAATTTTATAACTTGTGATATAGAATTGTCTCTAGTTGGCTACCTAACAAAGTTTGGTAGCTCCTAAAAAGACTGTTGTCCTGTATTGATTGACTATGTTTTGTTTGTATTTAATATAGAGATTATGATTTAGTCTCTTTTCAGTGTCTTGGATGATTTGATTCTGTAAATGATGTATCAGTGCTCTCCATTTGAAGAAAGATATATTTAAGAGTGCAGATTTGTAGCAGGTAGTTGTTATTTGAGCTTTGGCGAGAAAAAAGGCTGAGGTAAATGGAGACTGTTAGGTGTTGGTTCAAAAAATTCCGTTCCAAAGAGAAACCCAAGCCTCCAAGCAAGAAGAAGGAACCCACAAGTAATGGGAAGGAAGGGTCAAAAATGCCAGTGAATGAGGAAGCACCTTCAAATGCGACTAAGCAGAAGGTTGAGGCTGCGAAGCAGTATATAGAGAAGCATTACAAGGAGCAGATGAGGAGCCTTCAAGAGCGGAGGGAGAGGTAATGACCCTAACGTTGCATTCATTGTGACCTGTGTAGTTCTTGCTCATGTTTATGGTGATTCAAGCCTGTGTCTATATTATTTAGCCCTTGTTTGATTCTCATTTTTTTTTCAAAATACATTTTCCCCCCTCTTCTTTTCAAACGCATATTCTTCAATAAAATAATATTACACAAAAATTCAAAAGTTTTTCTTATTTTTTAACCACACATTTTCCATCAAAATACTATTCCAAAATACATTATTTGCAAAAAATGGGGCTGAAATATGCTCTTCATATTTTCGTTGGAGTTGAAAAATTCACCAAATAAGCAATTCTATGGGTGCATGCAAGAACATTTGCCATAGATCATGTGCTAGCTGGAATGCTTATCATTATCTTTTTTCCTGGATGCAAGTATTTTGTTTTGAAAGGTATTAACCAAATGTTCATTGGTCTCACCATCTCTGTTTTACATTCCTCATTACATGATAACATTTCCTATATAATAGATATGAAAAGGGGTAAATGGTAGTTGGTCTTGCCACTGTTGTTGCATAGTCCTCATTTCATGATAACATCTCCTATATAATAGTTTTGAAGGTGATAAATAAAATGGTAGAGGTTCTTGCCACTACTGATGCTCAGTTCTCATTTCTCGATAACATTTCGTCCTAATAATAGCTCATGGTTATTATTGTACATTACACTTCCAATCAGGTATTACTGAGTTTGAAGAATTGCATCAGTCAGCTATTACTGCCTTTATATTTGCAAGGTCGTCATAGGCTTGAAGAAATATACCAAATAAAGCCAGTATAATTCTAGCATTAATTTGTACACTATAACACAAGTGCACTGCCCAATGTCTCTATATTCACACTTTTGTCTTTGATGATTCATTATGCATGCTCATAGAACATCTCCAGGCAACAACTATTGTAATAACTTCACATTTATCTACACCACTGTGACAACATTTTAATACCTTTTAGTTTAGTATGCCTTAGGTATCGTTGTTTAAACTTAATAGTCTCTAGGTTGGCTCTACACTGTCAATTTTTATTAACATCTTGCTAATTTGGACTTCTCAAGTTGCAAAATACAACTTTCAGCTTGAATTGAAATATTTAAAACCACTGGTTCTTCTTAATCGTCGCTGGGAAGGAAGTTAAAAATAATCATCTAGATGAAAGCAATACGTGGAAGATGATTTGAACATTAGACATTTTAAGGAAATGTATATGTTTAATAGAACTCATTTATTTGTCGGAGTTTATTGAAAAAAATTCTGTGATTTTGACGAACTTGTCTTTGGAGGTTAAACTGCATTGGCTAAGAGAGTGAGAAAGAGTTGGAGAAAGTGAGAGTAGTGGGACATGCATGTATGCCTTGATCAATTGCTGCTGCGAAGGAATTCTCCCACTTGTTTGTGGTTACGTGTCTCTTCATCAAGTTTTGGTGGTTTATGGGATGATGCTTGTGAGGCTCAGACTTGAAAGCTATAAAGTTATATTTAGCTGTGAGCTTGTTTGACATCAACTACCATTTAATGCCAATATAATACATTAAATACAACTCATGCAGGGATTAGCTTAAATACAACATAAATGGAGGGAAATAATAATACGAATTCAACCCATAAGGTGAATGACCTTTAAAATTCTTTTCAATTCAGAATTATGATGTAAATTAACGATTTCAAGCATATAGTCTGCTACCAATGCCCTCAAATTGTTTGTCAATGTTAAAGTGCAATTTAAATAGTGTTTTTGATAGTTGATATTGAGTTATAAATAATGGCATTCAATACATGTTGATGGTCAAAACTATATGCTCTTAGGAAGTCCTCCTGCTATTTATAGCTAATGAACCATGTCCATAAGAATAATCCGTGTTAGATACACTCAGAAGGAAAAAATATTATAATGCTTAATAGATCATTGGTTAGTGGCTTTACCATATGTATCAGGTATATGGATAGAAAGAATGGTTGCGTAATTAGAACGATGAGCTGTTTACTTGTGTTTTCATGCAGGCGTTATTCGCTTGAAAAGAAATTGGCTGATGCTGAGGTCTCTGAGGAAGAACAAAACAATATATTGAAGTACCTGGAAATAAAAGAAACAGAATATATGCGCCTTCAGAGGCATAAAATGGGTTCTGATGATTTTGAGCCATTAACAATGATAGGAAAGGGTGCATTCGGAGAGGTCTCTCTCTGTCTCTCTAGTTTTCTCTCTCCCTTTACTTGCATGTGGGTGCACATTTGTCTTTCTATTTGTCTATCTATTTTCCCTCACTCTGCTCTACTCCCTTCAGCCTTTCCCCATTTGGAAAGAATCAAGCAAGAAACAACATATAATTAGAAAAACTTGTGCCAGGATGTGATGTTGAATCTATACATTTGCTTAAAATGCTCAGTTGGCTTAATTTCATTAATCAGGGTAGCGCTTGTTTTTTCCTAGAACATTGGAGATAATAACCTAAATGGTCACTGAACTTTGTAATAGGTTTTTATGAGGTCATTGAACCTTAAAAATCATTTCATTTGTCACTAAACTTTGCAAAAGGTTTTCGAGGGGTCACTAATTCAGTGATCTCCTAAGAAACTTTTTGCAAAGTTTAGTAATCCCGTGGAAACTTTTTGTAAAGTGTTGTGATGAATAGGATGATTTTTAAAGTTCAGTGATCTCATGGAAATTTCTTGCAAAGTTCAATGATAACTTGAGTGATTTTTAAAGTTGATGACCCTTTGAAAACTTTTTGCAAAGTTTAGTGACTAGTTGGGTTATTATCTCTAGAACATTGTGCATAAAGGAAAGCTTGCATTCCAATATGCCGCTTAGCATTTTTGACAAATGCTGAAAAGATAAATGCATATTTCTAGAGATAAAAATATATGTTGCCTTCTTTCTCTTGGTACTATTGGATTTTCTCACTATACGAGTTAGAGGATTTAATAGAAAGAATGCTGAGCATTCTTGTTCCTTTAAGTTTTCATCATTATTGGCGAACTGATTTCATACCCGTGGTGAAATTCCATCCTTCAGAACTTGAGTATATGCTGAAAAGATGTATCATATATGCTTTTATCTGTTTCAGGAACTGCTGCTTACTTCTTGTTGTCTCTTTAACCAGTGGGAGAATTATATTATTCTGCAATTGCAGTTGTTATACTCTTTACAGAAGTTTCCCCTTAGCATTCATTGACTTGAATTCCTTCATGTGGTGTAGGTTAGAGTATGTCGGGAGAAGTCAACTGGTCACGTATATGCCATGAAAAAGCTTAAGAAGTCAGAGATGCTTCGCAGAGGCCAGGTATTGATTTATCTTGCACACATAATATCAAAGTTTGTAACTGTTGTGCACTTGTGCTTGCTCCTACTATTCCCTTTGTATGTTTGTCCAGGTTGAACATGTCAAGGCAGAAAGGAATCTGCTTGCAGAAGTTGACAGCAATTGTATTGTCAAACTTTACTGTTCTTTCCAAGACGAGGAGTATCTTTATCTTATAATGGAATATCTCCCTGGTGGGGATATGATGACTTTGCTTATGCGTAAGGATATATTAACTGAGGAAGAGACAAGGTTTTACATCGGAGAAACAGTGCTTGCCATTGAGTCTATCCACAAACATAATTACATTCATAGGTTGATATCAATTCTTTTATGGGAGCAATTTGGCCATGTTATGGTTTTCTGGTTTTATATCAGGTGATGTTTGTGTTTCTTTGTAATTTTGCAGAGATATCAAGCCTGATAACTTGCTTCTTGATAGAAATGGACACATGAAATTGTCAGATTTTGGATTATGTAAACCATTGGACTGCAGCAATATTCAAGAAAAGGATTTCTCGGTAGGAAATAACTACAGTGGGGCTCTACAAAGTGATGGCCGTCCTGCAGCGCCTAAGCGTACACAACAAGAGCAACTGCAGCACTGGCAGAGGAACAGGAGGATGCTTGTAAGCTTCCCACCTACATGATCGCCATTTCCATTCCTGGGAAGCCGCCTTTCTTTATCCCCACAAAAAAGTTATAATAAAATATAAATAGGAGAACAATCCTTTCCTAATGACTTGACTATTATTCCCACCCCTTGTGTCGCCTTTCCTTCTTTCCCACAAAAAAAATGACAATAATAAAATATGAATAGAAGAGCAATCCTGTTTTGTAGAAAAGGCGCAAACCTCGCTATTACAGTGTGTACAAAAATGCAGTCCTTGGTCTCTTTGATTTCTTCTCATCTTCCCCTATCTTCATTTGTTATTTGACATGTATTCTTTTTGGATTCTGGTAGCAGGCTTCAATCCTAGTGTCCATTTGTTAGAGTATATTGGTTCCTTAGGAGCATGTTTCATTCTTAGCCCTAGTTTTTATGTGTTTGTTACTGTGGATTATGTCAGTGGATTGCCCTAAGGTTTTCTACGCAAAAAATTAGTGGCACAGTTAGTTCTGAGCCTGGCTTGAATCGTCTATCATTCAAATCAAGGGTCCTACTGCACGGTGGGCTAGAAAGTTTGTTTTCTCCTTTAGTTTCTCAATGTAGTGTCTCCTCTACATTGTGAAATATAATTTGTACTATGATTCAATTAGTCTGTTTTGGATAAGCTGTTAACTTGCACAAGTATCGAGTATCTATATTCCAGCTCCCTCCATGTCCATGGAGTTCCAAAAAAATCCAAGCATGATTAGTATGTATCTTGGAATTTCTCAAATGTCATCTTCTATGAGATGGTTTTTTGGATTTGCATGTTTTCAAATTTCCTGCTGGGGTACAAGGACTGCGAAAATCTGTATTGAAAATTGCTTGTTTGTTCTAATGCTGTAGGCCTATTCGACTGTTGGTACGCCTGATTATATTGCTCCTGAAGTTCTGCTGAAAAAAGGATACGGAATGGAATGTGATTGGTTTGTGTTTGTCCATGTAAAGCGTTTCTCATATTGAACTGGATAGGAAATTTTTTTGTCCATCTAATGAGATTGTGTGGACTGTGTTATCTCAACAGGTGGTCTCTTGGGGCTATCATGTACGAAATGCTTGTCGGGTATCCACCTTTCTATTCAGATGAGCCTATGTCTACGTGTAGGAAGGTAATAATGGGTTTCATGTCATAGTTTTCGTTGACACTGAAGAAAGCTTCTGTTTTATATTATAATGTTAGTTAATGGGTTTCGTGTCATACTATTATGCAGGAAATATGCTTCTCTTTACCATTTCTAAAAAGTTCTTTCATTATTATGTTTTTTTAGCATTAGTTTTTTCCATTATGCGCTTATATATTACTAGGATTCAGGCTAATTGTTGAATAAATAAAACTCATAACCGAACATTGGCAACCCCCATTCCCGCGAACCTTTTTGAAGTAATTAAAATGTATGCGAACCTTGGGAAGCAGAATTGAACATCCGTAAGTGTAAGACACTAGTTATTGCTGGTTGTAAAATTCTTTTAAATGATGTGGGAGACTGCAAACCAAAATCTCCTTTATTTTGCTAACTCTGTTATTGGCTTGTGTCCTAGAATCTGTACTAGTTTGCTTTTGTGCTTTTGTTTGATATTCCTAATTAATTCCTAAGATATTGTCATCGAATCAACGTTTTGGCATTGTCTGCTTTTCGCTAATAATTTGTCTTATAAGCTTTAATAATTAATGCATTAACGTTGAAAAGATAAATCCTTACTTCAACATTAGTCTTTTATTAAATCTTTTGATAGATCATCCACATTCTTCCCATTTTAGCCTATGTAGTACTGAAAGTTGAGGATCTTAAGATTTAACTGAAGATAGCAGTAGATAATGCTGGATAAAGCTTGTGCCCAATTTGAATAGTTTAACTAGGGCTGGACAAAAATCAATTCAACCAATCTAGTCAATCGATCAATTCGTGATAAATCAAATTTGAGGTCAAGTTGAGTAGGGTATCGGATATGAATTAAAATCCAACCTAACCTAACCTAACCCAACCCAACTCAACTCAATGAATTAAAAAATATTAAAAAAATAATAATACCTAAAAAAAGAAAAAACCTAAATAGACACAATGTACACATCCCTTAGTTTTACCTTGGTTGGCTGGCATGAATGCTTTGTACGAAAGCAAAGTTATTAGATGATAAACTAAAAATCAATGGCAGGATGATATAAATGAATCTTAAAAATATTGTAAAAAAGAATTATTTTTATTTTTATTTTTTTTTGCCCAATTTGAATAGTTTAACTAGGGCTGGACAAAAATCAATTCAACCAATCTAGTCAATCGATCAATTCGTGATAAATCAAATTTGAGGTCAAGTTGAGTAGGGTATCGGATATGAATTAAAATCCAACCTAACCTAACCCAACCCAACTCGATGAATTAAAAAATATTAAAAAAAAATAATACCTAAAAAAAGAAAAAAACCTAAATAGACACAATGTACACATCCCTTAGTTTTACCTTGGTTGGCTGGCATGAATGCTTTGTACGAATGCAAAGTTATTAGATGATAAACTAAAAATCAATGGCAGGATGATATAAATGAATCTTAAAAATATTGTAAAAAAGAATTTTTTTTCTTTTTTTTTTTTTTTAAATAATTTCAAACTTATTGATACGTTTTTTCAGAAAGAATTCTTTATATAGGTTAAAAACAACTAAGGTTTCCAAGTGGTTTCAAACTTTAAAAAATTGTCCAAATTCAACAAGAAAGATCCCAACCATTGTTACCGCGGAAAAAATTGTCCAACATAAAAATAACTGGATCTACCTTGAATTTGGCCCAAGCCCAAACAGATCAAACCAACCTAAATCACTCCAAGCTTGGTCGGTTTGGGTTGGGTAGGGCTTCAACTGTTGACCTGTTGATTTGGTTTGATTTCTCGTTAGATTGAACATGTTCGGTTGGGCCCAAACCCAACCCATGCCCAGCCCGTTCAATTATTGTCAAGGGTCCTTCACTTTCATTACATTGAATGGATTGCCGCATGAAATAGCAATAGAGTTTTTTAGACATTGGGCTAATTGAAATTAATCATGACTACATAAACTATTTTGATATTAGGAGATTTCATTTAGTTTCAATCAGATAGTAGTTTTTACTTTTCCAGGAAGATATGGGTGCGGGAATAAGGCAAAAAATGTAAAATTGGAATCAAATTTTTGATATTTTTATAACCTTGTAATGTGTTAGTGATCTTCAGGCTTTGACTGGGAGAAAAAGATGATATAGTGCACTTTCTAGCTTCTCATTTGTTGGCATTTTGATATTGATGTCAATAGCTCGAGTATCGCTTCTTTATCCAATTTCTGTTTTGATTTGCTCATTTATTTTGGTGCAGATAGTGAACTGGAGAACTCATTTAAAATTTCCCGAAGAGGCAAAGCTATCCCCTGAAGCAAAAGATCTCATCCGTAAACTCTTATGTAATGTTGAGCAAAGGCTTGGAACAAGAGGCTCTGATGAAATTAAGGTTTCTGCAATATGTTTCAGTGGAAATCTTCTTAATAATTGATAGTCTGGTGAACTAATGTAATTACCTGCGGCATTATTGTCTTTTCAGGCTCACCCGTGGTTTGAAGGCATAGAATGGGACAAGTTATATCAGATGAAAGCTGCCTTTATTCCAGAAGTTAATGACGAGCTGGACACACAAAATTTTGAAAAGTTTGAAGAGGTTTTCTCCTCAATAATACGGTTTCACCCATTCTAACTTTTGCAAAATTGGTATTTTATTCCCTTTCTCATTCTAGTTGTGTTTTCCCAGTCAGACAATCGAATTCCAATTGCTACAAAATCTGGCCCCTGGAGAAAGGTTTGTATATAATTCTGGAATTAGAATATCTAGCTACTGTGATTTCTTTGACATGGAAATTACTTTTTCTTCTATTTCTGAACAATAATTTTTATTGTCAAATGTGTCCATGATATATGCTTAGGGTTTGTTTTCTGGCTGCAGATGCTTTCATCTAAGGATGTCAACTTTATGGGTTACACATACAAGAACTTTGAAATTGTGAATGACAATGAAGTTCCTGGGATGGGTAACTCCCACCTTTTTTAGATCATGATGTGCACCTCTAAATTTTCATATCATGTGCCATTCAGAGATAATATTATTATGTTTCTTTTAATTGCATGTATATCAATTATTCTTTTCTTTTTGTTGCAAATTGTACCTCTTTTATACTGTAATCCAGCATTTTTCTGATTTTTCACCTGGTTTCTAATTACCTCTCTTTTTCTTTGTAGCTGAACTGAAGAAGAAAAGCACCAAACCCAAGAGACCTACAGTGAAGTCCCTCTTCAGTACGATTCTTCTTCCCTTCCTGTTTGTACACTTGCATTTGTTTCTGCTTATCTTTGTGGTTGTGCATTGTCGTTGTGAGCCTTATACTATGACCTTAACTTATAAGTAGTTCTTTTTAAAGATCCATCTACTTTCTTTTTAAATTTACCTTATTTATGCAATTGGTGGCATTGCTGCTGCTCCTTTGCCCCATTGATTATCTGATCTGAAAACCACCTTCTAATTTCAACTGAATCAGTGAAAATTGGGTTCGGACCTCAGAGGGGTGAAGTAGTCCGTGAAGGATTTAAGACTGGTGGAAATGGGTCTGCCAGGGTCCAAAGATTAATTTTTGCTTCTTTTGTTTTTCTCCTTTTTGCCCATTTTCTTGATTTATTTATTTATTTAAACTTGAGTTTAATTTTATCTTTTCAAATCCACTTGAACAACTTTAATTTGGAAAAGATAAGCGGTTGTATTTGCACCTATATATTAAGCCTCCATTTGGCCTCCATTCTTTCCAAATTTTAATGGTTGGAATAGTGTTTTTTTGAAAAATGTGGTTGAAAAAGAATGAAAAGTTTTTGATTTGCGTGTAATATTATTTTATGGAAGATTGTGTAGTTGAAAATAAGAGAGAGAATGAAAAAGAGAGTGGGGGCCAAACGGGGGCTAAATGTTAAGGGGCTTCCTGCCAAGAAATTGACATTAAATCTAAAAGTGTCAATTATTGCTACTATTTATTCCATCTATTTAAGCCCTTGTTTGGGAAGTGTTTAAGGTCTGTTTGGTAGTGATTTTGAGAATTGATATTTTGATCAATAGGAAAAAATCAAGGGCCACCTATGAGAAAAGTCAAAAATTACGGTTGGAATAGTGAAATAACGGTAAAAAAATCAATTTTTTGGAGCGGAAAATCACTCCCAAACGGGGCCTTAATTTATAAACCATTTTGGTCAAACCACTTTCTATCCTTAGCCCCTGCTTGGCCCTCATTTTTCGAAAACGAAAATGGGTAGAATAATATTTTTTGAATAATGAGTGGTTAAGAAAGAAGGAAAAATTTTCGATTTATGTATAATATTATTTTATAAAAGATTGTGTGGTTGAAAATAGGAGAGAGAAAAATGGAATGTAATGGAATGAAATTTAATGGGAGCCAAACGGGGGCTTACATTTCTTGAGAATTACAAGTACCATCTACTTATTTTCCTTTCGTTTCTATCTATTTATAATTTAAGCCGATTATAAACAATTTCTTTATTTTTTATCAGGACGGTCTTCCTAGCACAACTATATATTTTTATTAGTTCTAGGAGTTTCAGTAGTCTGCAGCTGCTGGAGTTAACTCCCAATTAATTTTCTTTTTTTTCTTTTTTTTTTTTTTTGGGTCAAATATTCAATTGGCTATGACATTTTATGGACCTTCTGTTCTCACCTTTTTCTCCAATTCAAAATATTCCAATATTACCCTCTACATCCCTACATTTCAAAAATACCCCCAAATTGACTCAATTCCGTTCACCCCTCACCTGCTTTTATTGAAGACCTTTGCAGCAGCAGGACAGGGAGGACTTGAGGGATATAAGTGGGGTAAAATTGAAATTTTCACTAAGGAATAAAATCACTTCTATCAAATTTTGTGTTCGTGGGTGCAAACACAAAATAGAGGTGTGAATACTGTGGACAAAAATGTCATTAATGCCATCAGCTTTGTTGTTTATTCCAATCAAACATTGAAATCTGTAACAATCTCCTAATGCACTTTGCAGATTAGTAGCTTCAAAAATTTAACTTGCTGAATATAATTTCTTTATGAGATGATACTACAGGGGAGTAGAATTGCTAAATTTTGTTCCTATTTAACCCATTGTTGTATTTCTTCCTCGAGATATTGTCATTAAAGCAATTGAAAGAAATATGAGGATATGTGCCCCGTTTGGTTTTGTTAAAAATCAGATTTTTAGTAGATTTTGATTAAAGTTGATGAAATGTGTGGCTGGAAACTGAAAAGTTATAAAAGTTGTGGGTTTTATGAAATGTGTGGTTAAAAATGAGTTTTAAGAAAAGGGAGTGTTAACTTCTATTGTTGTTTTGCACGTAGCAGGCGAAGATTCAAATTCTGCTCAAGGAAGTTTTCTCAATCTATTGCCTCTCCAATTAGAAATCTCGAAAGAGGATGAACCCTAAATTCGACAATCTGCTAATACTAACATCAGACCAACTGTAGCAAACAAGGAGACGGAATTAAAAATTCTTTTAGGTTTGTTGAGCTGCTTTCATCTGAATTTGTACCTTGTTTGGTGTAAATTATATACTGATTGTACATTTCTTTTCCGCCCGTGTGATATTCGATCTGTATTTTTTATTTTTTTTTAATTTCTCCTTGTTCAAGCTATAGAGACCGTGATTCATTGCTTGCTCATGTATTTTTCGTCTCAGACGAAGTCAATTATAGTGAAAAGATTTATTGAAAATAGACATTTATAATTGGATTCTTGTTTTTGATAATCATTTCGTACGAACCCTCTTTTCCTTGTGTAGAACAGTCGTTTTGTATCTTATTTACAGCTTGGTTGGGAGCGATTTTTTGTCCCAAAAAAATTAATTTTTTGATCGTTATTTCACTATTTCAACCGTCATATTTGACGACTTCTCTCACAGGTGGACCCTACTTTTCTCCTAACAGTCAAAAAATCAATTCTCAAAATCACTCCCAAATAGACTCTTATTTGTGATGCAACTTCAATTCGACTTAAAAGTAATTATATTCGCACCATGATTTTTATTAGTTGCACTATAGTTTACTCAGTCTCGTTTGGTAGTCATTTTTTTTAAAATGTATTTTTTTTCCTTCTTTTTAACCGCGCATTCTTTATTAAAATAATATTACACGCAAATAAAAAAAATCTTTATTTTTCAACCACACATTTCACATTAATTCACTATTCTAAAATGTATTTTTGCATAAAAATGACTATTAAACATCCCTTGAATTTAACATTTTTAATCTTTGTTTATTGTGATGGTTATGTTGTTAATTTTTCTTTTTCTTTTTGACGTATTTTTATTTCCAACATTTCATTAAATATAAAGTTTTGTATCCAATAATGATTATTGTCCATAAAGTCTTAAAGAAAATTTTTGTATCCGATAATGATTTTATTCCAAAAGGTCTGTTGGAAGGGAGTAAAACAATAAATACAATTTAAAATCAAATATTTTTCTCTCATTTCAAGGCGCACAAAAAGTGCATGTTGATGAAAATCATCATTAAGGATGATATGCATTACTTAATGAAATGTTGAAAATAATTATTCGATGAAAAAAATAGGTACGTAGGTGTTACAACGAGCAAATCCTAAGGATCTTAAATTAAATTAAAATGTGGTGCAAAGTTAAAATTGTGTTGTAAATATAATTGTCTATTATGAAATGGTGATTATATTCTCATTACATTCTTCTTTTGTTGAACCACTTTTAGTTGTCAGTAAATTCTATATCTTTATTTATTGTTGCACTGATGTCCTATCTTTATCTATTACATTCTTATCTTTAGCCACACTATTTGGTGTGAATTAAATCAGTTTTTTAAGAAATTTTGAAAAAAAATTAATAAAATGTATGGTCGAAAAGTTGTGAATTTTATGAAATATCTGATTAAAATTAATTATTGACTTTAATTTGGATAAATCCACCAAACAAGGGCTTAATTTTTTTTAATAGCTCATTTGGTCCTCAATCTATGTTCAAATACTCGGCGTGCTTTAAGTAAAGAGTATTATTGGGTTGCACTTTTGTATTTATTGTTTTTGGCTTATTTAGAAATATAAGGGGACAAATAAATCTTTTCACTCTCTGGTAGTAGACTTTTAGGACTGGAATTGTCATTATAGAATGTACTAATTTGATAAGTTGATGATAAGAATACGACGAGAAAATTTGACGATGCAACAATGAACAAAAGTTGCCAAATTCTATTTCAATTAAAAATGGCGCAACCCCAAAAACAGAAAAAAAAAATAATAATAATAATAATAGCAACAATACAACCACTAATTGTAAAAATTAAAATAGATTAGAAGTCTTTTATAATTTTCAATCAAATTCAAATATTAATTTTAATTATACTTCACACATAGATATTTTGCCGAATTCACTACTACTCTCTACACTCTAAGTTACTTATTCCTGTTTAAATGCATTTTTTTTTTTTACCTATTTTTAATCACATATCTTATGAAATCCATTAACTTATAATCTTAAAGCTTAAAAGAATTTTGCTGTGTATAGCACTTTTGTACACCATTGTTAACAGTCTTCTCACATGGGGTGGTGGGCCCACAATTAAAATAATCATGGGTCTCATCCCATGTGAGAGGGCAATCAAAATTGATGTATAAAAATGTTGTACACATAGCAAAACTCATTTTAAAAACCCTTGTCAAATCGGGACTTATTGGTATACCCAACTAGGCTTAAAACATTGAGGGGAGACTTTTTAAACGAATCCTAAAACTAGTCTGCATCTCATGTGTTGCACGAATTTTGTATTTATTTTGGTTTTATTAGCATAAAATTTAGAGATTGTACAAAAGGTATTTGGAAATAAGAAATGTTTGTTTGATTCTCATCTGTTGGTCGACTGTATATTTTATATCACGATAATTTATTTTTATTCTTGTAAATAAGTATAATGAATGTTGTGATTGTATATATGTCAACGATAATTTATTTTTAATTATTTATTGTATTTTTTTTGTTTAATGTAGATGAAGATATTTTTTTATCTGATATTGCAAATAAGTTGTAAATTGAATTTTGCAAAATGCTTTTCTTTAGCAACTTCAATTTAAAAGGCTATACTTGTAGTTCAAAAATAACCCATGCAGTTGTAAATTGAAAGAGAATATCCACATACACAATCATTTAAATAACAAACTCAGGTTTGCACGTAAAATAACTTGAAGTGACACTTACTGGATGACCAACTCTCTTATTGGTGTAAGAATTAGAACCCTAACAGCAAGCCTATTCTTCGGACGATACAACAGTCACTCCAAGATTGGTAGAGCAAAAGAATTTAAAAAAATTTAAATAAATTTTATTTGAAAGAGAAAATAATTAAAAAGAAATTTAAATAAATTGATAAAAAAAACAATTATTTATAAAGTAAAATTTTCAATTTTAATTAAATAAGATTTATATATTCTTCATTTAATTTTCATAACTTTTTTTATTTTTTACTTCTAAATAATTTTAAACGAATTTTTTTACTTATATAAGTACTTTTTACATATATTAGAAATATTTTTTGTTAATATGTTTATTTTTAAATTTTTTTTTACTAAAAGTGATTTTTTCTTATAAAAGTGGTCAGCACAGAGTAAGGCGAGAGGTATGCAAAGTTGCGTGTTACATAGATTCACATTGCCTCTCTTACACTATATATATAATATAATAATATAAACAAATGAGTTGATTTGAAAAGGCATGGCCATAGCGTATGAAAATGGAGAACGGAAAAGTAAAAAAAAAAAAAAAATTTGAATAATCCGCCGTGCACGGAGACCACACTATATATAATTTTTTTTAATTCTCTTCTCTTCAATTTTTTTAACCTACAAATAACTTTTTCGTTAAAACTGAAAAATTAAGTTTTATTTGGAAGAGAAAAGAATTAAAAAGGAAAAAATAATTGATTTTTTTAAAGAAAAAACGACTTATACGCATTTGTTAACACATACGTTTAATCTCCGTTTAACTATTTTCGATATTTATTTAGATCATTCAAGATCTCTACGATATAGCTATCAAAATGAGTTTTGAGAGAATGTAAAACATTTATCAATTCGACTATCATACAATTGTCGATAAATTTTTAAAGTTAGCTTGTTATCGAAAATTTCGAAATATAGTTTGAAAATGCCTACTTTGACGTCCCATAACATTTGCTACAATTGACCATTTCATGCACCGTTAACGACGTGCAATACTATGCCGTGAGTACTTCAAAACGATATTAAGAATGTAATATTTCGACTTCGTTTGATATTTCGTAATGAACCTGAAAATGAACACAAAACATAAGTAAAAAAAAAAATTCATTTCTCTCTCTGCACGGAGACCGACCCAAAGTCTCCGTGCACGAAGTCCTATTATTTTTTTTCTTCTTTTTTAAATAAAAGCTAATACCTCTTTATACTATATAAACTAACTACAATGATAAAAAAATTCAATATTACTAAAAATATCATTGCAAAATTAAATATTGTCTGAAATTATATATATATATATATCCATGCACTCTCTGCACGAAGGAACGTGTCATTTTTGCTCCCCATTTGAAAAAAAATGAAATTTTAAATAATTGAAAAAAAATTACGTCATACTGCATAATTTTTTTGAGCAAAATGATGTATTGAGAAAAATGTTGCAAAAAAATAATAAATAGTAATAAAAAAATTAATTTTTTTAAGAAAAACGACTTATACGCATTTTTTAACACATACGTTTAATGTCCATTTAACTATTTTCGATATTTGTTTAGATCATTCGATGTCTCTACTGTATAGTTCTCAAAATGAGTTTCGAGAGAATGTAAAACATTTATGATTCGATTATCGTACAATCGTCGACGAATTTTTAAAGTTAGCTTGTTATTAAAAATTTCGAAATAGTAATAAAATAATTGATTTTTTAAAGAAAAAAAGACTTATGGGTATTTTTTAACACATACGTTTAATGTCCGTTTAACTGTTTTTTATTTTTTTAAATATTTGTGTTGTTTACATTATAAATTATTTTTTTTCAATATAAAGTTCTTTTCTCTTAATAATTCCAAATAGAAACTTAGTGCCCGTTTGGGGCTGATTTTTTCACCCAAAAAATTAATTTTTTGACCGTTATTTCACTATTTCAGCCGTCATATTTGACTTCTTCTCTCATATGTGGACCCCACTTTTCTCCTAAGGGTCAAAAAATCAATTTTCCAAATCACTCCCAAACAGGCTTTTAGTTTTGATTTGCATAATAAATAATTTTTCTTTTCAACTTAAAATTCTTTTTTAATTTCTTTCTCTTTAATTTTTTTACTCACAAGTAACTTTTTACCTCTTAGAAATATTTTTTATCTTATATTATTAATATTTTTATTTTTTATAATGTCATATAATATTTAATTTTATGTAATAATACTGCTTTAAATATTTGATGGTAGATATGAAAAGTTGCGTATTACAATAAATTTAGATTGTCCTTTCTTAAATATAATAATAAAATATATAGCAGGCAAGAGAAACAGTGTCGTTTTTGCCCCCCACAAAAACGACGTCGTTTGCGTTGCCTGCTATATATTTTATTATACAATAAGAAACTACTATAACACGCAATTTTCATACCACCCATCACTCCGTGTTCAACCACTCTTATATAGATATATATAGTATGGATATAAGAAAAGAAAAATCACTTTTATATAATAAAAAAATTAAAA